TAGTGTCCTTCCTTTGCTTCCCCCCCCCCCCCCCACTTTCCTCTCTCGACTGCCGCCCAAACAAATTTTCGCCTCACTTGGGCTTTTGTTCGTCATTGTTCGCAGCGCCCCCGCCGGCACTGGTTGCGGCGGCCATCCGCTTGCTGGAGCTGGACAGACCCAAAGAAATCTTCTTGAGACCTGGCGCGCTCGAATTGGTCGCCGAGCCGCTCTGCTTTTCGTCCGAGCTGAGCGTTGCGGAGGGCGAGGCAGTGCCGGCATTCGCAGATGGGACAGGCGTAGCAGACTTGTCTCTCAAAAAGCCGCCCTCCTCATCCTCGTCCTTGTCCTTATTCTTGAGCGCCTGCCTCTTGGCCAGCCGACCAATGATATCCTCATCTTCGTCCGCATCGTCAAATTGCCCCGTCGATGGACCAGACAAGGATACTGCATCTGCTCCGCTTCGCCTGCGCTTCTGCCGCGGCTGCTCTTCCTTGACCTCCGACATCTTCTGGATCGGCGATTTGCGTCTCTTGAGTGTGGGCTCAGCCTTGGGCGCCAAAGAAACGGGCGCTTCTGCGATTGCCAGCTTCTTGGCAACCTCCTGCGCGTCGGCGTCTGCATCGGCCTCGACATCGTCATCGTCCGCATACGCCACCAAGGAGCGAGACATGGGCGCAGAGGAGGGCAGTTGAGAAAAGCCTTCGTTGGCACCAACAGCGCCGGGAGGCTCGAGTATAAATCCACCACCTGTGTCGTGCGATGGCACAACAGGCTGCTGCCCTTGAGAAGCCACATTCTCGTCGTCTGAATCATCGTTGAAGTAGCTCTCTTCATCCGAATCCATCGTGGCCCGATTAGCTCCCCTTCTCGCGAGATCTCTCTGACGTCGCTCCTTTTCTGCTGCCAAAGACGCCGCAGCGTCTGAGGCGCTCATGTCGCCAATCTCGGGTGCAGGGAAGAGATTTCGTTCGTGTTGATCAAGAAGAGCTTGAAAGGCGCCGCCAACAAGGGGCGCCGTAGCAAGCGCACGCAATCGATCTCCGAAGCTATCCACAAGCTGGGCGATCAAAGGCTTGACGTTTTCCTGCGGTCAGGTTGAAGACCAGTGTCAGAGCGAGCAAGCACAATGACAGAGGATGCAAATGGTAACATGTGTGACCGGTATCTGTGCCTTTCCCGCAGAGTGCTTGAGAGGATGGCTCTATATGGCGGTCGACGCCCGAAGCGATTTGCATCGCCAGCTTCAATCTTGGTCTCATCTTGCCCTCGTCAAAAGACCCAGGGTCGTGCCTCGCCGTGCACAGGTGTGACAAGCCGTGTAACAGCGCGACAACGCAGCAGACCTTTGTATATGGGCAACGCGCTCGAGACTGAACTACTCACCCTTCTTAGATAGGCAAAAAAGTCCAAGCATGCAGACGCGACCAGGTTGTCTCTGTGCTTCTCGTGCTCCACCGCTGCGAGTACTGCTCCAACCAGCTCAACCTTGACAAAGTGCCTGTTGATGTACTGGTTGTTCCTGGTGAGGCAAGCCTTCAAGAAGCGCAACGCCGCCAGTCTGATGTGCTTCTCTCTCGCGTACAGCAAGCTGACGACGTGCCGAACGATGTCGGAGGTGATGATAAAGTACTGACTCCGAAAGGTGTGGTGCACAATGACGTAGCAGAGCAGGTCGCAAAGGTGCGCAAAGAGGGCTGACCGGGCCCTGGGTGACAAGTCGATGCTTGCCCCTGGGGCGATGACTTTGAAGAGCGGCAACGAGAAGAAAGGCGAGAACAGTCGCTCAATGTCGCCCTCGTACACCAGATTCAAGAACCGGTCCGACTCGTCCTTGGGCCGAGAGCCGACGGCTGCAGCAGCTGCGGCAGCCAGGGTCTGAGCTACCGGATTAGCAGCGCCCATCTCTGCGGACGTGTCCAGTAAGACCCGTGTGGCCTCTGACATTTGAGCTTTGAGACCTAGGTCCTGCTCCGCATGCAGCGACTCTACCAGAAGAGTGGAGATGGGCTTCGTGCTCGCTTCCGCTTGAGCGAGCGCGTGCGCTCTCACACTGCTAACGTCGTACTCGATGATGGTGAGCAGCACTTCCGCAGCCGCATTGCGCAGCTTCATCTCTCCCTTGAGCTGCAAAGCCCACTCCAAAACGCTCAGTAAGCCCCAGTCTACCAGGGATCGATAAAGGCCTATCCGAGCGGGTAGCTGTACCTGTTTCCCCATCGCGCACAGCTGTTGCAGGAAAATGACGCCTTCCGCCATTTGCTGAGTTCCCGGTCCGGAAGGTGGCTTCTGATAGGCAATGACGCGGTCCGGCAGGCTCGGGGCGCCTTGAGGAGGAGGTAGTCCCGCATTCTGTCCGTTAGCCGCATTGCCAATCACCATGTGCTGCGCTGCGCCGGGCGCGTCTGCCCGTCGAGGAATCGTCACCTCTCCATATACCGAAAAGAAGCGGTTTAGGAAAGAAGCATTGGCAGAGCAAAAGCCGACAATGTCCACTTGATGGAAGAAGATGAAGCTGTTCAACACCGAGAACATCGCATCGTCTAGCACTCGAGCCAGGATCACGTCCCGCAGGTATTGCAAACGATACGTCTGGTGTATCTTTGCCAGTATCACTGGGTCTTCGATGTCCACGACAGTCCGAAACTTGGTCGTGTTCTGAAGGAAGTCTCTGTAGCTAGCCTTGAGCGTGGGAAATTCGGGATCATCTGCGGACACGAAAGGCAGGAAACTTAGTCTATAGTCTCCACGAGCACTCGAGCGCTGCTCAGAACTCGAACTCACACTCCAGCATGCCGACAACCCCCAAGAAAACGTCGTCTTGCAAGATTTGCTCCAGCAACGAGTGTTCGTTGAGCATCACTGTGAGCATGCGAAGATGAGACGCATTAATGCGAATCGCCGTGAAAGCATATCAAGCGCTCTGGTCCCACTTACGAGTGGTCTGCGTGATGGAGCAAAGGCGATGCAGAGCTTCCAACTGCTCTAAATCCTCCGCATCACTAAATATGGGCAATAATTTGTGCAAGAAGTTCTGTTCGCAACGCATTCGAAGAGGGAGAGTCAATCGGAAGCTACGAGCGCGCCGATGTCGCATAAGGACCTCAACTCACGCTCCGCAGCATCCACGCAGCAATTTTCTCTCTGGCATGTGGACTTCTAGCAGCAGCGTCCTTGATGCTCATTTCGATGAGGGCCAGGTTACCAAGTGACGGGTCAGGAAGGACAAAAGCGGCGCCATTCGGTCCAAAGGGATCGTGTCCCGCAGTTCCCAGCGCCGACGGACTACTGTCAGGATTCGGAGTCAAAGGGGGCGATTCGAAGCCTTCGTCGCCCATTCTTACGCCTCCTTCGACGCCTCCAGGCCCATCTACACTTCCTGCATTGAGATTGAAGTGCTTCTGCACCTCTTGCAAGAAGTCCCAGATCTCTTGGCACCCGTCCGCCTCCTGGAAAGAGAGGGCCATGTCTTGCCCATGCGGCTCCGTCCAGACGATCAGTGTATCTGTGCACAGGATGTATAGCACAGTCAGCATCTGTCATCACGCCCTGCCACTCGTGTGGTAATTACCTTGCTGTCTTTGATATACGTCATCTCTAACCACGGTGGTCAAGAGTAGAAGGTCGTCCGCTTCGAGCGTCGGGGTGATGACGACCATGAAATTTTGCGATTCGCCTTCTTGTCCGGCTTTCTGCGGGCTTGCAGGGTTCTCAGTAGCAGTTGCACCCGCTTGACCGCTGGACGGTCCTCCACTCATGGGCTCAGGGGAGGAGCTCTTCTCCAGCGGCAGATCTTCGCAGGCATCCTCGACTCTAGCAGCCAGCAAAGCTTCATCTCGTCCCTCATCATACACACCAGCACAGAAACCCGTGCCTCGATCTTGCCAGCTATCGCCTTGAAGCTCGTACACCTTCACTCTTCTAGCCGTGCCGCACTGATGATAAGCCCCACGTGACACTGTACTGGACGTCTGCAGCGGACCATCCCTGTTGTCCCCGAATGACCTGTCTTCCCTGCTGATGCCCAATCCGCTCGAAGATGCAGATGACGAGCTCGTGTTGGAAAGATCGCCCGACAAGTCACCATCCTGATTGACCCATCTAGGCATCGAATCTAAAATATTCTTCATCTCTGCTTCCTCTTCTTGCAGACCAACAGACTGAGGCGTGGGCAGCTGCGCACCAGCACCCTGCAAATCAACCGGTGCGAGATTTGCTTGACCCAGCGCGCCTACGGCATTCGGAGGTCTATCTTGAGATCCAGCTTGGCATCCGGCGCTCGGAGCAGGCCCTCCGCCCCTGGGTGACCTCTGCGGCGATCGCGACTTTGCCCTCTTGTCTGTCCGAGCGTTTTTGTTCGAAGGGGAGGACGCGGAACCGGTAGCATCGTGTAACCGCTTGGAGCTCGTGCGGACGGGCGCGGTTACAAGGACCGCTGTTTCCTTCTCTTTACCCTTGGGACTCGAAGATAAAGCATTGCTCCTTGCCCTCGGTTCACGACGCGTCTCTGCTGAAGAGTCCGGTGTAGTGACGGCTACAGAGGTAGAAGAAGCAGCGCCTGCTTTAGCACGAGAACTAGCACCAGTTCCGCTCCGCGGCGGCGTCTTGGGAGGAGTCTTGGTGACCGGGGATGAGGAGGAGGAGGAGGAGGATGTTGGAGCGCTGGAAGCAGAAGTTGCGCTCTGTGCAGGCATGGCCGAGATGGGGGCAGGTGTAGGTGCGAAAGTAGACGAGGAAGATGAGGATGAGGCTGAGGATGAGGATACCTTATTTTGCATTACAAGGAAGAGTCTGGGTGTTTGTTGTTGGGGACTCGATTGCTTGGAAGTGCTGTGACGTCTGGCTGCTGATGCTCCTCCGCTCGCCTGCTGATGGCCGCAGATCGCAGGTGTCTATCGACGCGTCGGCAGTTGGATCATGATGTGATCGTACCTTGACGCAGGGTCTGCGGGACTCGTGCCTTGTGTGATTTTGCGCCAATTTCGCTCGGATCGCTTCACCTTTGTTGGATCAGCCGGTTCGCAGATCTTTGGCGGCAAAGCGTCAATCTCGCCTACTCGGGTGGAGTGGTGTGTCCCGTTTTGTGGTGAGTAGTGCCAAGTGCACTTGCGGTACGACGCGATTCGTGATTGTGTGATGAAAGTGGAGAGACGAGGCGTGGGCGGACGG